CTGCGTGAATATCTTCCTCACTTTGTTCACAGTCTCCGCGTTTTTCCCTTTGAAACTGTAGCAGAATGGAGAAAGGTGTTGTACAAGTGCGTGCTTGCTGGTGTCTCTGAAAGCCGTCTCGGTTCAGTGGAGTTAGTGGGGGTTAGCTGCTGAGGCTCCAGCTGAAGCCAGCTAGAACCAGTGAACCGAGAGGGCAACAAACAATTAATGTATCGTGTACTTTATCTATATGTGTGCAATAGAATCCATCCCGTTGCAGTGCTCAGAAACGAAGCGTTGAGTTATCGAAAAAGACATTACATTCTCACGCTAACGGGCGCAGGCATCAGTGTGGGCGTTTGTGGAACACAACTTCCGACCAACCATGATCCATCCGCCTGTGTCATTATAGCCATCCTGAGCCATGGCTCAAGACGAAACCGGGGGCGCATTAATTTGAGACACATGTCCTCAACCTTGACTCGGTGACGACTCAGGCAACGCAAAGCATCGAGATCTGGCGGGCCGCGGAAGGGATGTAGTTCGACGCCGAGGGCAATAACAATGGGGACACAGTGCAATGCCGTACGTCGTATGCAAGTTCTTGTATTTGCGCAACATCCTGATAGGCATCTTTCAGTCATGCAAACTAGTATCAAGCTATGTCTTATCCTTCACCACTAAGCAAGCCAGCGATCCCCATAGTAAAACTCGTTGTGATGCTTAGGACTATTGAGGAAGCTATTTCTCTCCTTGGCCTTCTCTATATTCCCGTCCTGCAATATCTGTCTGGATCTTCCGACGGGTTCGCTGGACTCCAATCCCGTTGCGCCTCAGGGAACTAAACCGAGTGTCGCTTCGCAGGTTGGCAGCAGGTATTTTGTTACTCCAACTCGATCTTCGCATAATCTGACGAACTATGGTAGTGGACTCCCACTTAGCGAACCCTTGGCACCCGCGGCAAGCAAAACCCCAGCAATCCGACAGAAGAGGACGCTGGTAGCATAAGGTTGTGTTGGATAGTCAAATTTGCTTCACCTTTTGGATATGAGAGAGTACCTTACGCAAGACGGTTTTTTGGGGTACATCAGGGTCCATCCCACTGATACTCGTACTCACATCTGCTCTTATCTCGCAATTTGTGAGGGATTGTGGCGAACTACAAGGAGGGAGTACGGCTGGGAAAGGGAGTTTCCCGAACAAGCCCGAACAACCACGGCACCGGTAGTAGTTCCTGTACGTCCCCTTGTTCTTCTTGCAGGGAACGGCGTTCTTGCCCTCGGCTATTGAAAATGAGTTCACACTTATAGCGTCTTTGTCCGCCGCCACCTTTCCGTGTATCTCGAGGCTTTTGTTGTCATTCGCGTCCTCATTTCGGTTGCGCGATCTGAAAACCGCGAATAGTGTTTTCAATCAAAGGACAACGCGTATACAGCTTTCAGCAATCGTCGATGCGGAACGACTCACCCTTGTCCATATTCTGAAGATGATGATCCAGGTATGATTTCAATGGCATTACACACCAACAACTATCGGGATACTGACTAAAACAATACTTGTTACCTATCAGATAATCATATGGAAATAAACGAGGGTGCTACTTGAATAATACAGAACCTAGCTAATGCGGTGGCTACATCAACTGTATGACAGAAGAAGGAAAAGGAGGAAAAGAAGTGTTGGTACGAGCTGTCAACTAGTTTGCAATCTCAAAACGGTTGAAATGAATGAAAGGTCGACGGGCAAGCCTGGCGTTGCGGGAACGTTGTTCATGCTTCTCCAGCTCCCCAATCGCAGTGAAGAGGTTTTTGCGGGTGACGTCCTTCTTGAAATACTTCTGGTAATGAATGGTGGCTTGAACGATAGTATCGAGGGTGAGTTCTCTTCTGTGAGGGACCTCCATAGACTCATAGTGAGCAGTTCGACGTGCAGGGAGAACCTCTTTGGAGTGCGTTTCATCGACATCAAGCGGGCCAACGTTTTCGGTAGCGCGAACAGCGGTCGCTCTTTCTTCTGCGCAAGCGTAGAAACGAGCGTTTTCTTCTGCCAGACGAGAGTGAATTGGTTCGACAAGGAGCGACGTGTCAGTGGTAGGCATTGGGCCGAGATACGCTGGAGCGGTGGAGTCCCACGGATTCGTAAAGAAGGGGCGATCGTCGGTCTGAGTGGATTCATCACTCTGAATCCAGGCGCTGGAGGCTGGGGAAGAGATATTCTCTGCGATCATGGTGCCACGACGTCGAGGGCTGGTAGCGAAGCTAGAGTCCTCTGAGGACTCGTCTTCGTACTCGCTGTCGCCCGAGAAAATGGAGTGGTATCTTGTGATGAATCTCGGGCTTGTATGACCCTCGGCACGCAAGGACTCTTTGTCGAAGGAGCTCTCGTCACCAGATTCAACGTACGAGCTAGTCGTGCTACTACGTCTTTCTCCATCGTAGGAATCATCTACCTCAGAGAACTCCTCTTCATCTGAACTTGTTTCAGAGTATACACTCTCCGAGCGCTCGTCGTCGGCATGTGTGGATACAAATCCATCAAGGTCGACGCACTCTCGATCAAGGTCGCCGTAGAGTGCGTCGACCTGAGCGTAAACCGAGGCCGCTTCTTTGATCTCGAAATACGCGTCCATAATAGTGGTAGGAAAGAATGGTTGAGAGCGTCCCTCGATTTCGACTGTCTCGAAGTCGTGAGGGACATCGGTCCAGCCGGTGGGTTTCGTCTCGAATGAGGACGCCGAAGGAGTGGGCGGAGGTGGTGGTGCACTGGGCACGTCAGTGTCGACGGAAGGGTTGGGGTCTGGGCTTGTATTGCAGTGTTCTCCATGACTCTTGCATGGGACAGATATTAGGAGGGCCCGCCAATTACCCTAGGTTACGGTGCTTAGATGATGCCACTGGCAGAGTTAGCGAGATCGACTTACCAATACCTTGGTTCTATCCATTTCTTTTGCCTTCTCCCGGAGAAGGGCTTCGGTAAGGTTTGTGGCGAACGTGGTGGGAGACATGATTCGGCAAAAAGATTCAGAGAAATCGAAGGGAAACAGTGGAGGGTAGAATCACGGATTCTGAGCTGAGGACAGGTGGAATTATCCGGGGCGTTGGATAGAATCGAGCGAAGGCCTCTTCGAATTTATAGGATTGTTTTTGACGGGGCCCGACTTATTGTGAACCATATCAGGATTTTGGTCGATTGTTCAAGCTGAAAGGCGGGAAGCTCATTTTCGTCTATTTTTGTCCACATTGTGCTCTCGATCAGTCAAATTAAGACAATGGAGCCTACTCCCACGTTGTTAATGTAGCCGATGTCAACATGCTAACCAAGCCATGAACTTTCCAAAAACGAAACGAGGCAAGGCGACAGGTGCAAAACGAAGTGCTCAAGCGGGGAGTCGAACCCCGTTCGCGACCTATTTCCACAACCGCTTCTCATGGGAAGGTCGCATCATAACCGTTAGACCACTTGAGCTTGATATGCGTGGTTGTGTACCTCGGTATATTCTTAAATTCTTACCGGTCACGACTTATCTTCAGTGTCACTGTCGAGTCCATCATGATCATGATCAGGTTGTGGGCTGAGTACTGAGCACCGAATTCCCAATAATGGCCAAGAGCTTTCTGTAAGCTCATGCTCAACCAACACCTCAGTGATCCTTTGAATTTTTCTGTTTGAGCGATAGTACTCATTCTGACGTCCTACACGTATTGCGGAGATTCTGAACCTTGCATAACCATATTTCTATCATTCCGATACGTATGTATGCCCAATAATGAGTGAATAATTACAGTTAAGTATAATATCTTGTTTGTAAAAAGTGACCCAAACCCAGCCTATTTTGTTGCTCGAGCTCCAGACCGAGGCGGGGGAAGAATTTAGTCTTCGATGGCACGAGGACCGTTGACGCAGTTCCAGTCAAGGTAGACGTTCAATCCGGCGCAACGGTAGCCGTCTATAAAGACAATCAGCCATCACATCCTTCGCGGAGGACACTTCGTTCAAAACGGATACTGACCTGCGTTCCTCTTCTTGTCAGCAGCAGAGAGACGAGAGCTGGCACCGCATCCGTAGGTAACATCATCAGCGCCGAAGACGGCATGAGCGAGCTCGTGGAGGATGATACCACCACGGCTGGACATGGTCGATTCGTAGGAGCGAGCTGCGAGAGTTGAATGAGCGCGAGTGTGGGGATAAGAGTTTGGGATTTCACTTACTATCACAGACGCTGGGGGTGGTGCCGGCTTGGAAGAACAGCTCGCAAACGTAAATCTGAGTAGAATGGTCAGGGACATGATAGGCGTGGAGAGGAAAACGATACGCACAGGTGTGCGACCATCGCTGTAGATGACGGTGTAGGCAATGACACCAGGGTTGTTGGTGCAGTAGCTCCTGGCATCGGCGTGGTCTTGCTGACAGTTGATGCTATCAAGGCGAGATCGTTAGCCATTCCGCAAAGATGTAATTTCTTAAAAGGAGCTCACTTTCGGGTGGTTTGGTCACCAGCAACCTGCAAAGTTTGTGTCAGCGGGGCTGAACTAAATCTGGAAGAAGGAAACGATCACCCACCCTGTCGAGGTTGAACCAAATGTCGTTGACGTTGTTTCCGCCGAACCAAGTGGTGAAGTGAGATCCGCCAGGGTTGTTCCTGATGTCGGTAGCGGCACCTCCAGCGAGGGACCGCGCGTACTTCAACGAGTCCACGATGACCTGCCTCTTGTTTCCGTCAGAGCAGACGGGGGTGGAAGCGAAGGTGGAGACATCGTCGAGGGAGGTGAAGAAGGGGCTGAAGGAGACGCTATCGGTGACAGTAACGTCGACAGAGTTGATGTCAAGGGTGAGAGGAGTGTCATCGACGCCAGACTGGAAGGTGTTGCGGGAAGAGGAGAAAGAGAAGGAGGTGCCAGGGGCGAAAGAGGAGAAATCGTAGAAGGAAGTCACGGTGTGGTTTACTGCGTAAGATTGTCCTGCGGGGATCGTCACGTACAACGACTCGTGGCTGAAGTCGTAAGTGGCCTAGAGAACGCGAACTGTCAGTCTTGTACGCGTCGAATGAAGGAAAAAAGACAACTAACGTGGACACCGGTAAACGGAACATCCTTTCCGTCGGATGACTTGATCACGAAGGACTCCGAAGCGGAGGTGTCAAGGACATTCTCCACCTTGAGGACACGGACATCGCTGTCGGTGGGGTTGGCGACAATTGCAGTGATGACGATGTCGTCAATTGACTTCACGGAGGTATCTACCGCCTTCAGAGAGACAGTCAAATCTCCCTGGTTGAGGGCCAGAGCGAGCTTGGTCAAAGCGGTGAGAAGAACGAAGGCGGCGGGGCGGAACATATCTTCTGAGTACTCGAGCTGGGGCTGGAGATGTTTTCAGTGGGGGTCGAAGGGTAGCTTTTATACTGCCAGGTCTTGAATTTCAGGAACGCTTTTTGCACCAATTCGGAATATACCCAGAAGGACCGCGAGGTCGAAAGTGAGGATAGGGCTGGATGCCGCTCAGTGAACCTAGTCCACTACTACCGCTCAATTGTCCCAAAGTCTATGCGATGACTCTACATCAAAGGCCAAGAGTTTGTACACCATGCAACCCAGTGAATATACCGCCACCACAACACGTACCAGCTTGTGAGCAGCGCCCGGGCGCGTCTGCCTCCAGCCCTCCGTAAAATGTACGGATCCACCGGAACGGTAGCGAAGCGCTTGCGTTTATTCGGACCTGGAAGATGCATAAGTCTATGGACGTGCCCAACCCTTCTACACCACAATGCTAACCTCGACAGAAACCGTCACCTTCGAGACCAAAAGGCTATCGGAACATTGCTCCTTGAGGTAACTTGAATTCATCATTTGATCCTTGATACCCTTTGATACCAGCTGATCTGTTTCCCCGCAACCACATGTCGCCACATGCATGGACTGCCCCATCTCTTTCTGGCCGTCCAAGCTCAAGCGGTTTCAGTTCCTCAAGGTAACCCGCATCTTGATCCCCTCGCATGGAACCCGAGAAGTGGTGGTACTGGTTGAATCGTGCAGCACGGTAGGGCGCGTGAGTTAATGTGTAGTCGAGAAATACCTAATCCACTGCTCAGCATGGGTTCGGGTTCGGTGGGGGTACGGAAGGAGTAAACCTCTACGGAAACTGCGATGAAAGACCGGATTAGACTCGGGTTGAATTCCATCAAAGAAACCACAAGTTCCGTACTAGGTTGGCCAGCACCTCTGTATCACTGTAGTAAGTGGTGGCTTGAGCGGCGGGCATTCCTGCCACCCCTGAATTTTGAAATCATGACTATATGTCGCCACAAAAGCAGCTAAATCCGTGCGCCCGTCTCGTCTGAAACAAGGCACGAGGAGATCGAGGTAGAGCGCCTCGATAGTTCTCTTTGTAATCCCCAGGGCCTTCGTACAGATGAGTGGATCTATGTAGCTCCGGATGCCTGCGATTACATGGATCAGGTTTCCAGACTCTTCCTGAAGGACTTGCGAGGCTCGGCTGGTCGCAAGAGGTGCCTGGAGACAGGAGAACGACGTTGAGCTCGATACTCCATCATCAGACTAAGCTCGTTTGACTCTTCGGCTATGATGCGAGACGGAGAGAATTCGAATCGCTGAGGGAGATGGACCAATCTCCATAAATATGTCAAACCAGGAGTTTGACACGATAAACAACTGTCGGTTTGTCGGAGACCATCCTCGCTGAGAGGAAACATGAGTTATAGGACTTGCCGTAACACCCGACAATATATTATGGTCGGTTCTCTTGTCCTCTGAAACAGCGCTCTCAGCAGCCCGTCTCCATCATGAGAGCTTGAAAGACTCGTCTGTCGGGAATCTCGTTAGGAGGTAGATAGCTGAGCAAGCGTTTGAGTTATGGCAGCTGAGTAATAAGTTCTGGACAGGGTGGTGTGTTGTTCCAGCCAACGGCATCACAAAAGCCCGTCGATATCGGTAGGTGTTGCTTGTATGAGGATGGATTCGACTATCGGGACCAATGAATTGATGTTTCGAGTGTTTGCCTTCTTATTCAGGTTGATAGCCCTCTTGGTTCAGGCTAAAGTTCAGTCATAAAGAGAAACAGGAGATAATCGTTCTACGCACTTTTCTCAGAGTTCCAGATGCGTCAACGTGAGAATAAGTTTCGAGAGTCTGAGGATCATCTAAGGGTGAAGTTCGAATCTTGATTATAAGAGCGAGAGCCTCAAAAGGAGGAGAGACAAATTGTAAAGTTTGGTCTGGTTGGTCAGCTTGATGGGAAAGTGATTCCGTAAACTTCCTCACAACTTGATCATCGACTCAATCCCGACGTTACCTCGATATGGGTCCCCACAAATTCGCCCTTCATTCTTGTTGGTCAACCTGAACTGACAGGGAATCCCAAGCAGTACCGGTCAAGATGCTCCGCAACCGTCGACGAGTCGTACTGGGGCCCCTTTTCACCCCTGCCAACGAAAACGGCAGATATTTGAACAGTTACCCCTCCTTCCTGAGGCATTGCTCAATGCTCAGGCTTCTTTATAGCTGCAGAATAGCCTCAAGAAATGTCGACCGTTGCAAGTCTCGGACTAATATGCTTAGAGGTTGATATTTGATTGCGTGCGTGGGTTGCGCCAACTAGCAAGGTTTTCGAATACGGGCCGGCCTGATTCCCTAATTGAATCAGAATTATTGCACTATATATCTATTTTTGAATTAGATCAATTCCCAGGTACCTTCGTAAGGCCTCACATACTCTTGTCGGTTTTCTTAACATGATCCCAGCGTGTACCAGGTATGGGGTTTTAATCAAGTTCTACCTACGAGCTCGTCGGAGCGCTTCAACAGCCTACTTATTTGCGTCGGTATCACCCACCTTCCGATTTGCGACCTTCGTCACTGCAATGTTCAGTGGCGCTCAAAATCGCATTGTTTTTTTAGTCGAGCGGTCGTCAGCTGCACAGGTGGCTCCACTCTTCATAAACCAACCCTCCCCGTCCCCTCCCCGTCCCCTCCCATCCACTAACCTCCTTCTCAGTCTCTTCCGTTGCTACGCGAGTCAAGGCGGCATTGTCTGCCCGCAAAAAGGCCAATAACCTCCTGAAACAACCCCTCTCTACTCATATTGCTGCCAGGCTTCAGGTTCAGCTTGCATATCAATTACCGATCGCCGCTCGCGAAATGGCTGGCGTTTACCGTCCCCGCCGATTGGAGACAAATGACGCAGAGATATATATAGAGTACTCGACTAGGCCCTCTGTTAATGTTGGGGAGATAACCGACAGACCTGTGCTGCACCACTTCCCCTTCAACCCCCATGTCCGACCCTATTCCCTACAACTTGACGATACCATCGCAGGCGGCCTCTCTCACTTACTCTCCGCTTCGTACCTCTTCTAATAACTCGGATGAAGGTTGGGTGCTTTCGTATTCAGGCGGGCTCGTTCCGGGTAACTATTGGGGACGCAAAGGAATAGGTGCCGACTACCACGC